AAAAGGGAGAGAGACAGACAAACAGTCAGACAGGGAAGAATGCCTGGAAAATGTGAACACAACAAAAATACTCCTGGGAGTGGTAGAAAGGGAGACTCAGAGGGTGAAAAGTGAACACTTTAAAAATTGCAATGAGACCAAAAAAGATTTTAAATACTGCAAGAAAGTTTCCCTCTGCGGTAGGCAGAGCAACGCCTTCCGCTCCCAAAGATGCCCGTGGCCTAATCCCAGAAACTGGAAAGACGCTGGGTGACATGGAAAGGGGAGTTAGGGGGCGGATGGAGTCGAGGTCGTTAAGCAGCTGACCCTGAGATGGGACAGCATCCTGGATCACCCAGGTGGGCCCAGCATAATCCCGGGGCTCCTTACAAGTACAGGGGAGACAGAAAAGGGAGAACCGGAGAGGTGGCAGCCTGAGGACTCAGCCCGGCGTCACTCACTTTAAAGAGGGAAGAAGGGGCCACGAGCCGAGGAGCGCGAGCCGCCTCTGGAAGCTGGAAAAGGCAAGGAAAGGGGTTCTCCTCTAGAGCCTCCAGAAGGGACACAGCCCTGCCAACGCCTGGCTGTTAGCCCCGTGAGACCCAGTCCTGACCTCTATCGTCCAGAACTGTAAGATAATAAATCTGTGCTGTTTTCAAGCATTAAGTTAATTGTAATTTGTTATGCCAGCAACAGAAAACTCATACACCCTCATATGGCTTGCACTGTCAGGCCATCGCGTCCCTGATCCTAGCTAAGGGACTGTGTGACCCTGGAGAGGCCCATGCCCCTTTCTGGGGGTCAGCACTCCCATTTGTACCATAAGCTTTCCCACCTGCTCCCCAGGTCCCTGATCCTAGCTAAGGGACTGTGTGACCCTGGAGAGGCCTATGCCCCTTTCTGGGGGTCAGCACTCCCATCTGTACCATAAGCTTTCCCACCTTGGCTCCCAAGGCCCCATAGTTCAAGCCACTTGAGGGGACACATTTTTGCTTAGTGGCTCTGGCACCTATACTGCTGCTGCGGCCATTGCCATGAGTTGAATTCCCAGGGGAGACCAAAAGCTCTTCTCAATTTCATGGGCATGATTACACTCACGTTGTGAAGGAAGACTGGGCAAAAAGTGTGTGGCTGGAGCTCGCGCAGCCCATGCCCACCTGGGAAGCATAAGTGGAAGCCAGTTCTATCACCAGATGCCCAGCGTGACATGTTTTTAGCTAACGTGCAGAAAATCAAGCATAGCAGGATCTATGTGACTATCAGAGGGCCCAGAGAGTCACTCTGAGGGACTCTCAGACAAATGGCAGGCCAGCATGCCCTGAGAGAGGGCCGTAAGCCCTACAAGTGAGGTCACCCCCAGCTAGACTATCACCTTTCACAAGGTACCATTTGGGAAGCCACCGTGCTTGGAACACCTAGCCCTGGAGACTCGTAAACAAAGAGTCGCTTCTCTCATGCTCTTGCTCCTGCACCTAACATTTTCTGGGCCAGGTATGCGGGGAAGTGACACACAAATGTGTAGAGGGCGGCCCTGCCTGCGACGCAGCGTAATGGGGAAGCAGAGTGAGGCGAGGGTGACAGGACTGCCCAGGCCAGGGCCGGCGTCCAGCGGTTCTGACTGACCGTGAGAGGAACCCAACAAGGGCAGCCCTGCACGCCAGTGACAAATGACAGATGGCCCCAACCAGCTACATCCCCCCAGGAAGGGAGACCAGATGACATATTTTCTAAGCATCTCCCAAGATCAAAGGGCCCAGGAGAGAAACAAAAATCAAAGCAGAAAATGGTCCCCTCGGCAACTGGGTAGATCTAAGGAGTCGGAGTTAGAAGAGCCTTAATACACAGAGATCTCAGCAGGTCACACCCCCCACCTGTCCCCTGTCCCCCAGGACACATGCCCCTGCCCCTAGATGTGACTTCCATGGCCATCCCTGAGCAATTATTACAAGGCTCAGAAAAGGCTCCAAGTAGCCACCTTTCCTCCAGCTTTGTGAGGGCTGAGTGATGGGACGTGCCGTGCTGTCATCTCACTGTCCTCTGTCGTGTGTTAAAAGAATACACATGTACACATCTCTCTCACCTTGAGGAGCCCATGGGATCTGATGCACACTAGGACTCAGGCTCCTGTTTACTTAGTTGAACGAAATAAATGGAGGGAGGAGAATGGGACTGATGGAGGGGAGTTGGGAAGGGCAGGGCCGTGCAGTTAGGTGTAGCAAGTGGAATTGTTTTGGCCCTTCTTTCAAATCAAGGGTGCTGCACTCAGTACGTTGTATCTGCACCACACAGAAATGCCTAGCTGAGGAGATGAGACACGGCCGAAACCTAACCCAGGTTCCCTTCACCCAACAGTGAGCTTCTGGGCCTGCATCCGCCCAGAACTTTGACAGCTTCCTTCAATTCCCTGTGCCCCGGTTTCCTCATCTGTGAACTGAGGATAATAATTGCTGGGGTGGGAAGAGGCTTGTTCTCCACTCCCGGTGTCTTCTGGGAGTTCAGAGGGAGCCATGCTGGTCTCCTGCTGGTGTAAACCTTTAATCTCCTCCCCTCTACTCACTCCAGCCTAAGGGAGTAAATGAGGCTTATCTGACTGGCTATCTGGGGGAACAAAGAAAAGGGGACTGTTAGGCTCAGTTGCACCCCTTCTCCTCTTGGGAGTGAGCTGCTCTTCCAGGGGCTGGCATCTCTCACCATTTGACTATGTCAGGTGACCTGCCCCGGGCCTGAGATGAGGTGGGGCAGTCTGTCGGCTCGGGGCCCACCAGGCCTCATGACTTTCTGTGTCCTCTACTCTGCCATTATCGATCACAGAGATGATATCCATTTTCCTCCAATCTAACTGATACCTCTGTTTTATTAGTCGAGGTGTACAGAACTCAGGAGGAGGAGGAGAATACTATCTAATGAGGACTCAAAAAAAAAAAAATAATACTCCAATGACAATATCCACCCCCATGGATTATTATAAAGAGCAAATGAGAGAATATATACACATGCTCGGCATGGTACCCAGCAAATAAGGAATAAGTGTTAGGTGAAAACCGAGGCCCCCAAAATGTTCGTTTACTGACCAATAGTAAACGTATGTTAAATACCCGTGGTTATACTTCGCCTGGTATTGGGGGAGAGAGCTGTCAAAGCGCTTTGACCTACTACCCTACTTCCTATGAGACAAAGGCCACGCCCCCTTTTCAGGGTTTAATAACTGGTCCAAGGCCACAGCTGGTTTGCCAGGCCAAGTCCTCAGACTCCAGAGCCCATGTGCCACACTTCCCAAGTGCCCTGTAAAGTGTACTTACTCAGTAAAGATCTCTGTATTAAATAACTCTGGAAGTAAGAATCGGCGGCCAGCAAAGCGCATGAGCTGGAAAGACACACTTTATAGTCAGGGACACTGAAGTCCAGAGACAAAGAACCGATCCGGGTCAGCCGGGACAAAGCGAGGACTGAAACCCAGGCCTCCTGATCCTCCAGCCACTCCTCTTCTTCCTCAACCCACCATCACCCCCAGACCACTGCAGCCTCAGAAGGCTCCCAACCTACAGGTTGGAAGAGCTGTTCCCTTTTCCAGGCACACATGTTCTGGCACTGGAGGGCAAAACAAGGCCCTCTGAGTCAAAGTCCAGGCAGCAGATTTTAACGCAGTGTGAAGAAGAATTTCCTAATAGTCAGAACGATGCAGAGTCACGAGAAGGAGGGAGCTCCCCACCCCTGGAGGTGTTGAGGCTGAAGCCAGTCACCGTCTAAAGCCTGTGGAAAGGACTTCTACCCAGGGAGAGAGGCGACACCATCCTTCATGCCTTCACTGGGCTCTGCAGCTAGCTTCCTGGGTTCAAACCCCTGCTCTGCCTCTCACTAGGAATACAAACTTGGTCAAGTAAAGCAACTTCTCAGTGTCCTCACCTGTAAAGTGGGGATAATAACAGCATTCCCATCATAGAACTTTCATGAGGATTAAAAGAGTAAATTTACTTAAAATACTTAGAAGAGTGTTTTGCATAAAATAGGCCAACATCAAAAGCTTATTGATCTTGTTATTACTGTTGTTATTATTAGTAGTAATAGTACTAAATATTGAGTGCCTTCCGTGTACCAAGTACCATTCTAGGTGCAGGGAATATAAAAGTCCCTCCCACTGTGGGGGAGACACATATAAATAAATAAAATGATTTCAAGTAATGACAGATGCTGTGGTGGCAGTAAAAGAGGCAAGAGATGAGGTGGAAGTGAAGTTATTCAAACAAAGCCGCCCTGAGTCCAGACACCTGACTGACAAGGAAGAAACAGACGTGAGATGATTTGGGAGCAGCCAGGGACTGGACGGTTCCCCAGGAAGAGCCATCCCCTGGGCATAGCGCGCTCACCTGAGGGGCAGGGACGGGCTCCCCTGCCTTTTGAATACTCTTTCCAGCCTCTCCTGGGCAGTCCGGGCATTCCCACCAGGCAAGAACTTCGAGGGCGTCCTGCTGGTCTCTGGGCCGCTGTCCATGGCTGGGCTGTCCTCCGAAAGCTCTCTCCACCTGCCGCTCCCCCTCTGGAGCAGCCCTGGGCTCAGCAAGTGAGGAGGGCTGCTCGGAGTGGGTCTGTGCTTTTCTGAGGTGGGCTCGCTGAGCTGGCCCAGGGGACTCCTGGCGCTGGAAGCCAAGCCCTCCCGTGGGGCCGGACAGGCTGGGGTGCGAGTGGAGAGCTCCGGGGCTCTCCGGCTCTCCTCCTCCTCCTCGTGGGGCAGGGTCATGCTACTCAAGGCGGGGGGCCGCCTCAGGGAGCGCCTTCGGAGAGAATCCTGAAAGGGACAAGGACAAAGGCAGTGAGGATCCCTTCCAGGGAGGTGGGAAATACTTTATCTCATTTCAAGCATTTGTCCATGACGTTCCCTCCCCCAGGAGAGTCTGTCCCCACCCCCAAGTCTTCTTAAAGTCCTAGTTACTCTTCGAGGAGACACTCCATGACTACCACTTCTGGAATGAGTTCACTACACCCCACCTGCATGAACCCCAAAAGCGTGCCTCAGCCTTTCTCCCGCTCCCCTGACAGGAGGCAGGTTCCAGCAGCAGGTGAAGCTGTGGCTTCTGGGTCAGACGTGGGTTCTCATTCCTGTGACATCACCAACAAGCTGTGTCCCCGGATGCGAGTTATTGAACTTCTCTGTCCCTCGCTTCCCTCCCCTGTAATATAAGCTGCCCGAGATCCACGATCCGTAATTCCTAAATCCCAAAACCTCTGGAAAAAAAATTATTTTAAAATCCTGTAACAAATTGTTTTTAACTGCTTTGAGATTGCTTGGTCTTTTTTAAAGTGTGAATATTCATATTTAGTTGCAGAAATGTTAGTGTTTTTGTTCATGGGCTGCTACTCCTTAACCCTAGTGCAGGTGATATGTGGTATGTGGTTTATGCACTGTATTTCTTTTCCGAAAAAAACGAAATTATAAATTCCAAAACACGCCTGGCCCACAGGTTTTGGAGGAACTGGGAGCTGTAGTGCTCACATCCCACAGGACTGTGGTCACAGAGGAGACCTTGGGAAGGCACTCACTCAAAGCTAGACCTGTCCCAGGTCCCAAATATCAGCTACTGCTATGCATCTTTGCCCCTGTTCCCACTTACTTATGGCCTTACCCGCTCCTGCCAGGAGTCCAGGAGTGGCAAAGGCCATTCTTCATGCATCTCTGGTGTCTACAGCGCTCCCAGCTCAGTGACCTATACCTAGTAAGCACCAAGATTTGCTTAATTTTTGAAATTCAGGAATTCCAAAGGAATCAACTGACATGTCCTCTCTCACTATCACTGATTAACTGTTGTTACCAATCTAGGGTGGGGGAGTCGGGGAAAGGGACAAAAATACACCCGCTGGGCTTCTCCTGGACCTCTCAGCATTCCCAGAAATAATCCTAGGCCGAATGGTAAAGCCTGTGCTGGAATGAGAACAGCTAATTCTGTAGTGTTCTCTCTTGGTGGAAATTACTAGGCACTAGAAACATCCTCCAAACGCCACCCAGGGCATCCCCCGCCACAGAGCGAGGAACACATTAGTCACTGTTCCTAAGGAGACTCCACCTTTTGCCAAGGGCAGGGAATCCAGCCTCTTACTCATCCTTCATAAACACAGAGCTGATCTAGTAACAGAAAATGATGAAATACCTAGCAAACCTTGCTCTTTTCTCTTGAGCAACCAGTAAGTATGGCCAAAGGACCTTCCAGAAAACCTGGGGAAATTCTACAAAAACCCATCCTTCAATGAGCTTCACAGGACTCAGTTACCCCAGGGGAAAAACACACAAAACGATCACTAAACAGAGAACTTGGCAGGAAAGCAGGTCCAGGCCGTCCCTCCCACAGCCCAGTCATGACGGAGGTCTCCGCTGCATGGACTGTCATGGTAGGACAGGCCCCTGGGGTTCATCAAGTCCACCAGTTATCAAAGGGGGGGTCTGCCAACCTCTAGGGTCTCCAAACCCTTTCAGGGAGCTCGAAACCATTTTCATAATAACAATGCGGATGATTTTCCCTTTTCCGCGGTGCCGACATTTGCAGGGATGACGCAAAAGCACCAATGGGGGCATCTGCTGGTCCTGAGGAGGGATCAAGGCAGTGGCACCAAACCTCAGTGGTGCCCAAGGTTTTCACCCCTTGCAATAAAAGTAAATAAGTGCTAATTTCACTTAATCACGTCCAAGCGGATGCATAAACATTATTAATACTCTTGAATCCTGACCCGCTCTAATGTTCTGTGACAAAATGGGAGGTATATGGAAGCACTCTGCCGGATGCAGAGGGTGACAACTGTCTCGAGGAAAAGTACTAGTCAGATGTCGGAGCTGTGAGCTGAACTTGCTATTTTTTTTTTCGTGGTTATTCAGGTTTGGGTATTTGTCAGGCATTTTCTCAGAAATAAATTGACCTGTCACTTCAAGGGAAATCAATGATGCATTGTTGTCAATGATGAAATAAAGTTTCTAGGTAAAAATTACAATTTGGGGAAACTTGTATCTCCCACTGTGAGTTTGGGTGCCTTTCAATACCTAAAAACTTTTGTGATGAGTTGGGTGGCAACATTAACAAATGTGATTTTTTCATAATGAAATGTGTCAATATTCGGAAGATCTATATAATTTAGTGAGCCAGTATTTTCCAAATAACCAATGTATCATGTTACTAAACCATGCAGTGGTAAAAGATTCATTCCGGCGCAAGCAAGACAGACCTGATAAAGTGACAAAAGTTCATTGGTATGGTTGCAGATTCTACATTAAAAAACTACAATGTGTCTAGTTCGAGTGTAGTATCAAAGAATATCTCGAGTTTTCTGAAAAGACTATTAAAATACTTTTCCTGCTTCCAACTGCATATCTGTATGAGGCCAGATTCTCTTCAACTACTTCTACTAAAGTGCCATAATGCAATAGACTGCAGAAGCAAATATGAGACTTGAACCATCTTCTGCTAAGCCAGACATGAAGGAGATTTGCAAAAATGCAAAACAATGCTACTCATATCACTACTTTTCAGTTTGGAAAAATATAGCGTTTTTAAAAATGTGTTAAATGTAATAGGCTTACTAATGTTATTTTTAATGATTTAACATGTAAGTATTTTTTAATTTCTCAGTTTTAATTTCTAATATAGTAACTATCGACAGACGTAACCCACATAAACTAAAGCTTCTTGAGCTCCTCAATAGTCTTAAGAGTATAAAGAGATCATGACAACTGCCAATGTAGTTTAAACTCTCATCCAGATGGGAATGTCCTCAGCAGATGGGGTACCTGGCCTCCCCTTAACACCTCCAGTCTAGTTCCTTCCAAAATGGCCTGTCCCGCTGCCGAGGCGGCTCTGACTGTGAGCTCCTCCACCCAGCCTCCACCCAGTGGTCCTGCTGGTGCTCTCTGGAGCCACCAAGCAAGTCTACACCACTCGGTCCCACAAAGGGCCACACACCATGCTCTGTGCTCAAACGTGGCAGAGTCCCTGCTCCTTGGGGTTCACAGCCTAAGCTCAAGATGGCGAATAGGGTTCATTTCACTCGCCACTCCAATCCATCCATTGGGAGTAACTGCCAAGATACCTGGGAGGTTCTGAAGTCACATCCACATTCGATAGGAAAATGGGGCACTGAGATCAACTAGCAACGTCTGCCCCAGGCACAGCGTCAGAGGGTGGCATGGAAAGGTTACCCGAAGGCCATATTTTTGCCATCCTGGAATTTCCGCATTCGAAGAAATCTCTTACATTCTGCCTCACATTGCACAAGCCTTACCCTCTCGATTAAACATTCCCAGATCTATCGATTTCCTCCAAACTCTTCACCTTCCTAGTTCTTTTCCTTTAGACATGGTCTAGTTTATGAATGTCCTTCTTCTAGTACAAGACACCTAGGATGGGACATGCTGTCGAGGCGTGGTCGGAACCACACAGAATGAAGCAGACCCTCGCCTTCCCTTAGACACCTGGTCTAACGAACAAGACCACAGCCAAGAGAAATAAAGACATCGTTTGACAATCTCACAAGACGCAGGCAGAGGCAGGGAGAGAGTCGCTTCTGCAAGCAAGGCTTCCTTTAGTGCTGGCATCTCCACAGACAGTCACACCTGCACATGAGCACGTGGGAGCAGAGGGGACCAGCCATGCGCACGGACCACCTCATTTTTGTTTGTTCAGGCTCCCCAATTTGTCTGATGTTATACTTTTTTGAGTTTGGCGTTGATTTCCCTTTGTTGTTTTATGAACTTCTTCTACATTTACTCTCTCATTTGGTTTAGTCTCCCCAGCTAATGGGATCCTACCACAGTCCCTTCTAAGGGACAGAATAAAACGATGTTAAATTTTTAGAATGCTTTTTTTGAAAGCAAAGCAAATGAAACCGTAAGGATTGGGGTTTCTTTTTCCCTTTTAACTATCATGTTTTAAAAAATAAAAAAGATGGTTTGCCTCATTCTCCAAGTTCATCCTCAAGCTGACCTGTGAAAGTGGCTAAACGCTGTCTCCTAGGCGATCTTTTTTCCCTCCTCCTGTTTATTTTTGTTTGTTTATTTATAGTCTGATTTAAAACGATCGGATTCAAGTTGGTTAATTTTAGTTATGTAACAACCTGACATGATGGAGGAAAACGACCTTTAAAGGGATTGTGTCTATGGTTTGATTCACTTGGAAATTTTACTTTCTTATAACTTAAGTGCAATAAAATGGGTTTTTCCATGTTAAAAATAAATAAATAAAATAAAAATAAAAAAGAAGTTCCCTAAACTTGGATGGCTTCCCGCACTCCTGAACCACAACAAGAAAGCTGGGTGGATGTGCTCTCACTCGGGAAAGAAACATAAAACCATGGCACCCACCTGCTGGCATGATGGGTAAGCTGAGGGCAGGGAGGGCCATGAGGCCTGCCTGTGTTCCCACAGGGAGCTGACAGCAGAGCCAGAAAGAAAGCAGGGGCAGGTGTTCTTCCCACCCTGCTACCTGCATCCCCTCACCCTGGGCTGTCTTGTGAGGTACCCCAAAATAAACCCAGGCAGCCGCTTAAGCCCACCCGGTTCTCACACTCCACTCAGAATGACCAGCCCACCTGCGGGGAGCTGGCGGTGGGCCCAGCCATCATGCCTCGGACAATCAGGCCACACTTTGGCCTGACCTTCTCGCCCACCCTCCTTGTGTCCAGGGGAGGCTCTGCCGGCTGGAGCTTGTCCATCTTCTCCCACGTGGGGGCCACAGGGAGACTTTCAGCCGGCACCATCTGCGCAGGCTTACTTTTGTGCGGGGGCCTTCTGGATGATACCAAGTTACCAAGTACATCCCCATCAAGACTGTCGTGTCTGCAAAAAAGGGACAGTTCCATTAAAACGGACTCCCCAGGTGGAATCACTAACAACGATAATAAATTCCACATTCAACATGAGCTCAGAGCAAGCCCTTGGCAACCCTGCGGGGATTTCTATCGTTAAAGGTAAAAAACAGAAAATCCTTTCTTATCAAGGCAGGTCTGGCCTATAAAGCAAGACCAGGAAACAAGAAACAAACTCAAAGTCGATGATCCATGATAGGATTCCTCGAATATCCTCAGATACTTTATATCTGCAAAGACAAAGAGCGTCCCTATTCCAGACCTGCGAGCTGCAGAGCTGCAGAGCGGCACCAGACACGCGGAGCCAGCCTCACCGCGCCTCACCGCTCGCCCCCGAGGGGCGGGAGGAGGCTGCGGTGAGCTCGGCTCTCCAAAGTGCAGTTCGAGTTCAGCAAAATTAGGCAGGGAAATAGAGTCTTTTTCTGCGCTGCTTGGCATCGAAAGGAGAACCAGAGCGAGAAAGAGAGAAAGACGGGGTGTGTGTGTCTATGAGAGAGAAAACAAGAGAGAACGAGGGGGTGAGAGACAGTGGGAGCGGCAGGGAGTGAGAAAGAACAAGCACGGAAAGGAGACAGAGACGCACGCGAAGACTGGGTCACTCGGAGCCAGCACTCCTCCCACCAGGCGGGGGTGTCTCCTACCCCCGGACTCTGGCATGACAGGGCGCTGACACCTGCTCTGCGCCAAGCACTGGGTCACGCGTGAGAGGAGCGGTCACGTGTGCTATGACTGCGCTGATTAGGGCACGTCAGGCAGAAAAAGGGTCTGGAACCAGCCTGGGGAAATGTAGAAGGGCTTCCAGGGAAGGCGGCACCTGAGTCTGAGGGAAGGAGCGGGCAGGAGAAGGCCGCAGGTACCAACCCAAGGCATGGAGCAGGACACGCCTGGGGGCCCGTCTGACCACAGAGAGGGTTTTACAAGTACTCAGAAGGAATCTGGATTTTCTCCTCAAAGCTACCAGGAGAGCGTCTGAAGGCCTTTCAGCAGCAGGCAGCGTGGCCAAACTTGTTTGGTGGAAAGCTCACACTGCCCTAGGTCAAGGGTGGACTTGAGGAGGTCACTAGATGCCTGGGGGCCAGAGGAAGGCCCTTGGGAGTTAGCGAGGGTTTTTTTTTAGGCGGGCAGAGAAAGCAGGAAAGAGTTTACCCTCGTTAAGGACTCAGAGATGCAAATATAACAGGCGAGAAGGAGTCGAGGATGACACCCAAGTCTGTAGCCTGGGCGACTAGGCAGAACTCAGGGGCTTCGACGACTGCATCGCAGTTTTTTATCATTTGGGAAATATTTCACTTCCCAGCCAGACGGTAAATGCCCGTGAAGGAGGAAATGTCTTCTTCACCCGCCTGCATTAACCTCCACATCTTAAGCCTTAAGTGAATTTTTTTAATGGTTCCCATCCTTTGGCAGCTTAACACCCAGACTCTCAGCTCTGGCTCCTCTCAGAAAAGGAAACACTTTTCAACAGAGCTGGAAGAAAACACTCATTCTCAGTGTTTTAAGGTTGTAATCTAGCATGACTGTTTTCCAAATAATAGAGCTTCAGTCAAGAATGCCAATTCATTTTCTTCCTTAGAGTTCTAAAAGGCCTGATTTTTCGGATTCGTCCGTCATTGCAGTATTTGGTTGCCTTTTAAGAAAACGCTAACAAAACAACCTCCTGACAAATCACGAAACTCGAATTAAACATTTTGAATCATAAGCATCCTCCATCACAAAGTGGTCCATTCTCGGGGCCTCCAGAAGAAACTAACAGGCTCCAGGGCAGGGGTTTTGAAAGCACAGAGTGAAGAAGGCGGAACAATGGCCCCCCCGCCAAAGACATCCGCATCCTGACCCCCGGAATCTGTGAATCCGTTACCTCACATGGAAAAGGGGCTTTGCAGATGTGGTTAAGTTAAAGTCCTAGGTTGCCTGGGTGGGCCCAGTGGAATCACAAGGATCTTTATTAGAGGGAGAAAGAGGGTCAGAGTCAGTCGTAGGAGATGCGACGACAGAAGCAGAGGTTGGAGTGATGTGCTCTGAAGATGGTGGAAGCGGCCGCAAGCCAAGGAACGTAGGCGGCCATTAGGAGCTGGAAAAAACAGGAAGCAGATTCTCCCTTCAAAGCCACTAAGCCAATGAGACCGATTCTGGACTTCTGACATCCAGAACTATAAGATAACAAATTCCTGTCACTTTAAGACACCATGATGGTTAAATTTTATGTCACCTGGCTAGGCTATGGTGCCCGGCTGTTTGGTCAAATATTATCCTACATATTGCCATGAAGATTCTTCAGATGTGATTAATAACTACAATCAGTTGACGTAAAGTAAAGGAGGCTGCCGAAGATAATATGGGTGGGCCTCGTTCAGTCAGTTGAAGGCCTTCAGAGCAAAAACTAAGGTTTCCCAGAGAATAAGTAATTCTGCCTCAAGACTGCAATACAGAAATCCTGCCTGGGTCGCCAGCATGCCAGTCTGCCCCACGGATTTCAGACTTGACAGACCCCACAATCACGCAAGCCATCTCCCTCTCTCTCTCTCTCTCTCTCTCTCTCTCTCTCTCTCTCTCTCTCTCTCTCTCTCTCTCTCTCTCTGTCTCTGTCTCTCTCTCTCTCAATTCGTATTGATTCTGTTTCTCCGGAGAACCCTGTCACAGCCACTGAGCTTAATTTGTCACAGCAGCAGTAGGAAACTAATCCATAGTGTAAATGAGAAGAGATACCTGGCTTTGCTCGCTTCTGACAGTGATGTTCTCCATGCTGCCTCATCATCTGCAAGGTCGTAGATATTTACCAGCGTGGTCTCTGAGCACCTCAATGGTAATTTGTTATTTTTCTTTGCATTTGAGAGTGCAGGAATTGGTGCTTCCTGAGTAAAACTCTTAGCAGTGTTTCCGAAGTGATCCAGAAAGTATCTGGTAATGAGTTCAAGGTTTGTTTTTAAAGGATTTTCCTTTGCCTGGCAGTGGAAGAAAAAAATATCATTAATCATATGCATAGCTACAGAGGAAGGGTGGAAAGAGGGCTATTGTAACTCTTCGACAGAGTTTGTCAACTTCTCACTCATTCATACATTCTTTCAGGGGTCACTGAAAGGTGAAGGACTGTGTTTTGACATAGAGATGAAGACAAAAAGAACTAGCATCCATTGCATGAGTCGGGTGATTCAATTTCAATTCAAACTTCTTTTTTTTCTTCTAGGAATAACTTTATAAATTTTTTTTTCCGCTAAAAAAAAAAATTAAGCCTTTGGGGATTGCTAACTCTACAAATTTATAAACATTTGGGACCTGAGTATTCTCTCTGTTTGTGTACTCAGCATGTAACGTTGGACCCTGGGGACTACTGGGACGATGCAGCAACGGGTTATCGCAAAGAGCAGAGAGGCAAGGCAGGCAGTGTTGATTCAGTTTACCCCCCTCTTAAAAAAAAAAAAAAAAAAAAAATTATAAAATGAAACCCCTCAGCAGTCAGTTTGGGAAATAAATGATATCAGTATTTCCCAAACCTGACTGTACCAAATTGGATATTTTTTTAAAATACATATTCCCAGCCCTCACTGTGTCTTACTAAACCAGAACTGCAAAGACTGGAGCCCCGATTTCTTTTAAAATTCCCCTAAGTAATCTGGATGGGCACAGTCATGCAAGCAGTGAGCCACAGGCTGGCCTCAAGGACTAGGCCGTGTAACTGTGTCGTCCCCGGCTCGCCTGCCTGCAAACGCCTTGGGAAGTGTGGCCAGACGTGGGGGTTCAGTGAGACGTGGGGGTTCAGTGAGCCTGCCACCAGAGCGGTAACGCACCTGACCAAGAGCCTCGCACAGAGAGGATCTGGGGTTCCTCCAGTCCTTCCCCCTTCTTATTCCCGTGATCTACACAGCAGAACTCTGAGATCAAGACCACAGCCAATGGCTTATGACCAGATTCCACAGATTCATCAGGCATCAGGCAGTCCAAATCAAGGGATGGTTTTATATATATATATAACCATATATATATTTTAGTAAAGGACCCCAAAAATATTTTGTCTAAGTCTAAATGAAACTTACAAGGAAGAGAGTCAGGGGAAAGATGTTATAAAATTTATTTCGGCCTCCTTCCTTTTTCAATTTAAGAGGCTTAAGGCCCTGGATTACCTGAATTATATTGAATTATGGTTTTTCATATTACTTTGCTTATAATAGACAATGCTGCTGTAGGATTCTAGACACCGTTTCTCAAAACCTCAGTTTTACACAGGCATTTTTATCTATCGTAG